TCTCTCTCTCTCAAATAAAAAAAAAAAAAATCTTTAAAAAAAAATTAAAAAAAAAAAGCTAGTCTGACTAGGACATATTCAACAAGGAGGAGAATGGTAGGAAATGAAGTTGGATGGGTTGGTAGAGTCTGGAGCATGTAGGACCCTGTAAGGACTTTAGCCTTTATTCTCCAACTTATTCACTGGAGGAAATAAAGCCTGACCTTGGCATGATATGTATTTTTAAAGGATCTTTCTGGATTCTGTGTGCAGAAGAGATACACCGCAGAAAGGCTAAGGGGACCAGTAAGGAGATTGTTGCAATTTAATCCAGGTGAGAGACACAGGTGTCTTGGACCAGAGTGGCATTGGCGGAGGTGGTGACAAGTGGTCCGATTCTGGGTATATGTTGAAGATGGAGTCAAACAGGATTTTCTGGAAGATTATATGTAAAATGCAAGAGAGATAGAAGAGTAGGGATGACTCCAAGGCTGTTGGCCTGAGTAGCTGGAGGAAGAAGTTGCCATTTATCTTGAAATGAAGAAGATTGCAAGAGGAACAGGCTTGGGGTGGAGGCTGGGGGAGACGAGGAGGGATATTAGGAGCTTAGCTTTGGGTATGTTAAATTAGAGCTTATTGGACATCCAAATACTGATGATAAATAGGTATTTGGATATTTGAGGTTGGAGAGGTCCTGGATGGAAATAGAAATGTGGAAATAATGAGCATGTAGGTAGTATTGTATTTAAAGCCTTAAGATGGGATGGCAGCATGAAGTGCAGGTGGGGGTGGGTAGTAAAGAAGAGAGGGCTGAGAACTGAGCCTCAGGGCACTCCAGGGTCTAGACAGTGGGAAGATGACAAACATGACAAAACAGTGGAAACTTCGGGGAGCAACCGGAGAGGCAGGAGGAAAGCCAGAAGTGCTAGCAGGTAACACGTGCAGGTGTAATTCAGGTAAGATGAACGCTGAGAATCAGACATTAGCTTTAGCAACATGGAGGCTACCTTTCAAGGAGTTCTGCCAAAAAGGGGTGGAAGGCTTAGGAAGGAATGGAATCAAGACAGGATCTTTTTTTTTTTTTAAATAGGATGAGAGAATTGGTAGCATGTTTGCATTCTGATGGGAATGAGTCTGTAGAAGGGAACAGTGAGCTCCAGCTGACAACATCCCAGTCTGAGTAGCAGGAATCCAAGAATGACCTCTAATGACCCACCCATGTGGGCATCCCCTCCCCACCCTTGGATGCAGGAGATACAGCCCCTTCCTCATCCTCTTCAGGAGCTAGGGCATTATAGACTTTGGTCATATCTGTGCTCCTGACTAATGCACACCAAATTAAATGGAGTCTGACCCAAACAGAGTCATATTGAGAATGAGCCAAAAACACTATCACATTAGGCAGGAAAGTACTACACGGACAGAATCTGTGACAACTGTGATTCCTTTTTTTTTTCTTTTAAAGATTTTATTTATTTATTTGACAGAGAGAGACACAGCGAGAGAGGGAACACAAGCAGGGGGAGTGGGAAAGAGAGAAGCAGGCTTCCCTCTGAGCAGGGAGCCCGATGCGGGGCTCGATCCCAGGACCCTGAGATCATGACCCGAGCTGAAGGCAGCCGCTTAACCAACTGAGCCACCCAGGCGCCCGACAACTGTGATTCCTGAGTAGTCACCCCATCTGGTGTAAACTGGCCTCCCGATTGGTGATAAGAAGGGAAGCTGGAACCCCTGAGCGTGAGGGGAAGCCATCAGATGGATGGGAGCCTGTGTCCGTTCCAGCTGCCTCCATCTTGGCAGTGTGGGTGTCCTGCTGGTGAAGCTGGCGTCCTTTGGCACAGAGCTAAACACACACCTGGCTTAGGAGTCGCAGGAGCTGAAAGAAGGTGCACGGCAAGGTGAGCCAGCAGAAGAGCAACAACTGGGGAGAACCGCACAAGCGGCCGCCTAGATCTTCGAAGTAAAAATGCAAGATGGCTGCTATTTCCGGCAAAAATGTCTTCTGTGGCCCAGCCTCACGGAAACCTCCGGGGAAGGGAATTTTGGGAGTTGTAGTTCAGCCCTGCCAAGTCGACCTGTTACAAAGTCACCTCAGCTTTCATAGGCCTGAGCACCCTGCCCTGGCTGTGCGTTCTTGGGACCAGTAATTCCACGAGGGCAGGGGTGAATGGCATTCATATTTGGGGCTTAGCACAGGGGAGGGGCCCAGGGAATAATCAGTGAATTAATCAGCAGTTCTTGAAGAGACACGGAGTCCTAGGTTCTCCATTTAAATCAGAAACCTATCAGGGCACCTGGGTGGCTCAGTCGTTAAGCGTCTGCCTTCAGCTCAGGTCATGATCCCAAGGTCCTGGGATCGAGCCCCGCATTAGGCTCCCTGCTCTGGCCTGCTTCTCCCTCTCCCCCTCCCCCTGCTTGTGTTCCTTCTCTCGCTGTGTCTCTCTCTGTCAAATAAATAAAAAAGAAACCTATCTAACAGTATCATAGACTTTTATTACCTCCATGTGTGTGGGAAAATATGGACCCCTCCATGGCCTGAAGGGGATCAGGATATGAGACCCCCAAAACTGCTACTTTGGCATAAAGGTTATTTTGAGCTGAGGCCAACTGCAAATCAGCAGGTGTAGGAAGAGTTATCCATCCTCCCCTTATCTGCCTTAAAAGCAGGGCACAAGTTTCCCCTGTGAAGGTGTGTCCCCATGCTGTACCAGAAAGAGAAGAGCAACGTGCATTCCACCTGAGACAGGGAGTCAGCAATGAGACAAGTCTGCATAAACAGACCTCCCTACAATAACCCTATTGTCCATTCTTTCCCCCATTTATTTGTTGGTTGCTTCTTCAAGATTTATCATACCCTAAAGCCAAAACCTCCTTTCCTTTGTTAAAAAAGTATAGAAGCCCCTGAGTCTAACTGCTTCAAATTTCACTTCTTTTCTGCCAACTCCTGTGCACATAAATACAACTGACTCTTGAACTGTGAAGATCTATTATATGTGGATTTTTTCAATAAATGCAGTACAGTGCTGCAAATGTATTTTCTCTTCCTTATGATTTTCTTAATATCATTTTCTTTTCGGGGCACCAGGGTGGCTCAGTTGCTTAAGCAGCTGACTCTTGATTTTGGCTCAGGTCATGATCTGAGGGTCAAAGGATCGAGCCCCACATCGGGCTCACACTCAGTGAGGAGTCTGCTTGTCCCTCTCAATTAGCGTTGGCTGTTTTAAGTAACAACTCTCCTGATAATGAACGGCGAGTCATCAGAGGTCATGGTTACTGTTAGGATAGTTGAAGGAACACTAAGTGGGAGCACCCACCAAAGCCTCACTAGGACCCTTTGAGGAGAGTGGCTCTGTCCTGGAATTACAGTGTTGAAACTGAGGCTCATCTGGTCATAAAGGCCAGGGAATGATGGATTGGGATCCAGGCTGTGAGCTCAGCCACTTTCTGCAGTGCAGCTCAGGGCCATGGGGTGCATTCCCTCATTCACATTCAGACATTCTACCCATTTCTGTATTGTAAATATTCGGGAATATTTACAATCCAGACCCATGTGGCATGATACAGATGCACACAGAGTATATAAGAATATGGAAACCCAGACAAGGGGCAACCAGTCAAGGGTTAATCCAGTCTGTAAACATCTGAGGTGGCTTCCTGGAGGAGGTGACACTGGAACTGAGTCTAGAAAGGGATAGATGATGTTGGCAGAAAGAATTCCATGGAGAAAGACCTGGAGGGGAGAGAATACTTGATTCCTTGGAAGATAGATAAGAATAGGTAAATATGGAAATGCATAAGGAAGAAGAGAGTTCACAGAAAAGGAAGTGCAAATGACTCCTGATGCTTAGCCCTTTGATTAGAGACTAGAACTTAATTATTCCAACCACTAAAAAGAAAGGAGAATTATGTAATGTGATCAAGGTGCTAAATATCACTACAATGGCAATCATATTATAATATTTAAATGAATCAAGTTAATAATATATTGTACACCTTAAATTTATACAAGTTATAGGTCAAATATAGTCAATAAAAGGTGGGGGGGGGACAAAGAAAAACAAAGTCTCCTCTCAACCCAGAAAACCTCTCCACAGGTGGAAGAGAAAAAAAAAATAAGAGTTTTATTTTTGAATAAGCATTAAACCAGAATGTGATGTGCATCACAGGTGACCCACTAAGAAATTGCACAGAGAGAAAGCTCACCCCCTTACATGGCCAGGCAGATACAACTTATTACATACATCTTCTCAGTCTGAACACTAACTAATCCTCAAGCTAGAGGACTTGACAGCCCCATTTGTCACACATAGTTCATCCTAAATTAGCCTGGTTATTGGGGGGTGACCATCTGTGTTAGTTAATTGGTTTTATCCAAAGGAAAAATAAACTTTTCGTATCTTTTTTAAAAAGACTTTATTTATTTATTTGCAAGAGAGCATGAGCAGGGGGAGGGGCAGAGGGAGAGGGAGAAGCAGACTCCCCACTGAGCAGGGAGCTGATGTGGGGCTCAATCCCAGGATCCTGAGATCATGACCTGAGCCAAAGTCACTTAACCAACTGAGCCACCCAGGTGCCCCTAAACTTCTCATATCTTTATGACTGGAGGTAGTTCTGCAAAGTTGGAATGAGGTGCCCCCACCTAAATTAGGCTCTTATCCTTCCCCAGAAACTGGGAGATAATCTGGGGGCGCTATCTTTCTTGCTGATTCTGTTTCAAAGACATGGGTCCTATGTCCTTGAAAAAAACATCCCTGAGTTGTAAAGGGCACAAGAAACCTATTTAGATGTTTTCAAGATTTACATACATCTCGAAGGGACAGAGAAAGCATTTACTTACAACTACACATTTCCTAAAGAAAATACTTCTGAAAGAAAGCGGCGGGGGTGGGGGGGTCTCTTTTCCTTTTTGCACAAGGGAAAACTAATTTTTCTTTCTCTATTTGTATTTACCCTTTCAGGGGTGACTGCAGGGAGGAAGTGGTGTGTCCTGTCAAATGCTACAAAACAGTAGCCTGAGGAGCGCCTGGCAGGATGTGGTGACCTTGGTAAAAGCAACTCTGGTGGAAGGGGAAGATGGAGAGACGGACAGGTGAGTGGAAGGAAGAAATATATCCAGAGAATGGAAGATGCTTGTCTGAGAAGAGAACAGGCAGGATAAGGAATGCAAGACCAACAAAGTGATTTTTTTTTCAATGAGTGGCTTCAGAGGATGTGTAAGATGGGGACACAGCCAATGCAGATGCGGGAGTAGAAGGCTGGCAGGAAAAAGGTGCCTCAGCCACCGTTACCCCAAGAAGCACCATCTTGGGGGAATCTCTTGGAGGAATGGCCATTTTAGGTTCTATAAAGTTCAAGTCTACAGAAAAAATAACAGTGAAGATTTAGGTTCAGGGTCAGGGTTCAGCCAGGTCAGGGTCAGGAATTGGTTATGAGAAGATATTCATGGTCAGAATGTGGGTTTGGATGGGATGAGAGCTTGTGATTCTGGGGTCAGATTAGAGGTCAATGTCCAGAACACAGAGGCCGATCTTCAGACACTATAAACCTGAACTTCACTCCATGTCTTCCTACTGTCTATTTCTCCTTCTCCATTCTGTAAGTTTCTTTTGCTCCTATATTTCATTTTTCTTTCTCCCTCTTCCTCTCTTTCCACCTCTCTCTTCTCCTTAAGCATGAGGAAGACAAGAAAGGGGTAAAGAAAAATTGTCTCCCTCACCCTTATTTTTGCAACTCATGCCCGCAGAATTTAAACAGCTTTAAAAGCTGGTTCTTTGTTGATTGAAATTGACTTTAGACCCAACACGAATAATTTAGAAATCAAATGAGCATAATTTGGCTCAAGTCTCTTCAAATAAGTAAAATCTAAATTCCAATTCCTTTGTCTTCTGGAGTAGCCCACAGTTGATTTTTTTTTTTTCTTTTTGCAATGGATCAGTTACTTGTATTCGATTTTTAAAATCTTGTGACTGGTTTCATAAATATAATGGGGCAAAAACCTTACTTCCTGTAAGGAAATCAGGCTTGACTAATCCTCATGCTGGCACTAAAAGAAGGAGAATTGCATGTTTGTAAGTGCAGATACATTTGAATATCAAAATAGTAGGGACAGTAAGTGATAGGTCATAGAGGAAATAGTCATAACTTATAAAAAGGCCAAACCATTAAAAACACAAAAGAATTATGCTAGAAATTAACCCTAGCCTTTTCCCACCAAAGTCTTCCAGTTGGAAATATCAAAATCTAAAATGACTCCTGGGTGATTATATTTAGAAATTAATGAGAGTAAGAGCGTCTGTTTCAAACCCAGAACACTTTTTATGGAGTATTTTACAATCTCCAATAGGAGAATCACAGTGCAGAACTCCAGGTTTTGGAGAAAATCCATGTCTCCCTATGCAGATACCGATTTGGAAAGGGACTCCTGGCTTGTCACTGGGCCCGGGCGGAATCTGGATGCCAGGTGCCCTGGACTAAATGTGTGTGTCCCATCCCACAATATGTATGTTGTAGTTATTTATTTATTTATTTATTGAGTGCGTGAGTGACTGGGGGGAGAGGCAGAGGGAGAAGGAGAGAGAGAGAGAGAGAGAGAGAGAATCTCAAGCAGGCTCCATGCTCAGTGTGGATCTTGACACGGGGCTCAATCTCACAACCCTGTGATCATGCCCTAAGGTGAAATCAAGGTCAGATGCCTAACCAACTGAGCAACCCATGCACCCCAAGGTGGTAACATTCTAATGAAAATCTCAGGCCTAAGAACCAGGGAGCCAGTGGTATAAATCCCAGTCCAAATCCAAAGGCCAGAGAATGGGAGGGCTGATATCCGAGGGCAGGAGAAGACAGATGTCCGATCTCAAGCAGAGAGCAAATCCCTGCTTCCTCCACCTTTTTGTTCTATTTAGGACCTCAGTGGATTGGAAGAGGCCCACTTGACTGGTGTGGGCCATCTTTGCTCAGCCCACCAATTCAAATGCTATTCTTTTCTGGAAACAGCCTCACAAAAACACCCAGAAATAATGTTTTACTAGCTATGTGGGCATCCCTGAGGATAAAATCAACCATCACAGCACCCTTATAGGAAGCAGCCAGAGCTGCTTAGTTTTCCTTCAGCCACGTGAAGACACAGTGAGAAGTCTGCCATCTGCAGCCCACAAGAGGGCATCCTGATCTTGGACTCCCAGCCTCCAAAACTGTGAGAAATAAACTTCAGTTATTGATAAGCCATGGTATCTTGTTGTAGAAGGCCAAACTGACAAAGTCACCTGGCCACAAACACCAAGGGCATTGTGACCTGAACTGCACATCACATACTGGGTGCAAACTACCAAACCATGACATTGGGTGTGCACAGCAGCATCCGTCATCCACGGAAAAGATGTGTATGGGATTAGATTCAAGTGGGGATGGAAGGTACAGGCGTACACCTCAGCAGATGGCTCAGATGCCCACGGTACCTGCTCCTGATGCATCTCCCTTCACCTACACCTATGGGCTCATGGATATTCCCTGTGATCTGTTTACAGAGAAGGGGAACAACAGACCAGGTGTATGGACGGATCTGTATGATGGGCTGGCACCAGGCAATAGGTAGATGCTGGGTTAGCATTGCACCCATGTGGCCTTGAAAGAGTGATGTAGGGAAGTCCTTCAGGTGGTGAAACTTCAGGGGTCCACCTTGTGGGAGAGAGGGATGTCCTTAGGTCCACTTATGCATGGATCCACATGAGCCACCTGATCAAGGACTTGGAAAGAATAAAAGTATAAAGAGAAAAAAAGAAAAGAATAAAAGTATAAAATGAAGACAGGGAGGATATGTGGAGGTCCTCTGGGGGTGGGCACAGAGTGTGAAGATGTTCATGACCCATGCTGATGCCCACCAGAACAAAGGCACTGAGGAATGGCCATGTGGGCAGGTGTGGAAGCTCCACGCGGTTACAACAAATAGACTAGCTCTCCGCAAGGCCGACCTGGCTGTTGACAGTACTCAGTGCCCAAACCAACAGAGGCAGAGGCCAATGCTGTTCTACAGCAGGACTACCCAAGACATGCCCCGTCATGGAGAGGACTGAGCTTTATCCTCACAGGGGGATAGACACATACCGTGGGTTCCCATTTGCCTTCCTTGTACACCCAATGGTTCCTTCAACACTGCCGTTTGGAAACTTAGAAAATGTCTTTTCTAGTGCTGTGGTATCCCATGAGGTAGTGAGGTCATTAACTCACAGCCACGGAGCTCACTGATCTTCCCAGTGCCCCATTTACACAGAGACAATTGGCTTATCAGAGTGATAGAGTGGCCCATGAAGGCTTATGAGGGCACCGGGCGAGAGACGGTACCCTGGCATCCATCAGGAATGTACATCTCAGACCAGCGGTCAGTCTATTGTGCCCCATCCCCCACAGCCAGAAGGCAGGAGTCCATGAGACAAGAGTAGAATAAGAGAGAGCCGCTCCCACTACTGCATACTCCCACCGACCACCCACTTAAAGAATTCTTGCTGCTAGTCTGTAGCCTTGGGATTGGTGTGGGTGAGGAACCCATCGCAGCTCTAATCAACTGGAAGTCATGTCCACAGCCCAGCCGTTTTGTGCTTCCCCATGAGGCAAAGAGGAGGGGCATTCTGCTGATCACCAGATGGAACGTGACTGCCAGAGGGAGGTTGGGTCGCTGGGTCAGGGAGGACTGTGTTTGGCAGCCAGGTGACATGTGAGGGGTACATCTTCCTATTTCCATGGCCAGTGGCCCTGCTCCGTGGAAAACTGCAGACACTCAATAAAGATCATCAAACACCCAAACCTCCTAAGAATGAAGACTTATGCCCCACGACAATTGCTTAAACTAGGTGTTGGCAGGTAGTAAGCCGATACGGAATGGGTGGGGGAAGAAGGAGCATCCTTCCGCACGCAGGACCTTTGCAGCTTTGTTTTTACATTATTTCCTGGCCCCCGTCTGTCTCTCACCGTGGCATATGAAGAACTGGCTATCGCCGTGGGCATACAACTCATTGTCACCAGCACACCATGTTGCTGTGATTACATAATGGGTGGGAATGGTGTGTCCTCTGTACTGAGGACTCTGGTTTTCATCTGGACAAGGAGAAGGCATGGATGTGAGGAGGAAGAGCATGGACCGGGCCGGACACTTGGTTTCCTTCTCCCCCTGCTCTGTGCTGTGGATGCAGATCTATGGGGCTGCATCGCAGGAATGCCTGTCCTCCAGCTGGGTTCAGTCAAGAGGAGCCCCAACGGGAGACCAGAGGAAGGACACTGAGTAAAGCCGGGGTGCTCATTCCCCAGCTCTCTCCCTACGGTGTGGGCTGGGTGGCTTTTTCAGCCTAAGATCAGAGCGTGTAGCAGGCAGCCCTCTGAAAACCTCCCCCACATACCCTTCCCCCTACAGATTCCAATAATGGTAGACTTCTCCCCCTTCTCGGGCCTAGGAAGGCTAGAGAGACCCAAGGAGATCAGCCTCAGGAAACTGCACAAACCTTCTATGTCAAGTTTCTCAGGTAGGATGAATCCCCCTTTGTGCTGGGGCCCTGCCTGCTAAGAGGGTAACACCACCTCCCCCAGGTCATGGTGGTGCACACCTACCTTTGACCTGAGCATCCTGAAGGCTCTGCTACCCTCCACGCTGGAATGGGGACATGCACCAGAACAGTGAAGGAAGGTCCTGAGATGGTGAATCTCTCACCGGGCTCCTCCCCTCCCCAGCCAGATCTCTGCGTGTCCTGCCCACCCCCTCCAAACACACACACAGAGAAATCCCATCATTCAGGGAAAGGACGATGTCTTTATTATCAGACACATGTGGCCACTCTTGACCTCTCCCAGAGGTCAAGTTCAGCTTTCCCCAGCTGCTTCTATATGTTGTTATCAGGCCATGAGGTATGTGGGTGTGCTGAGGGATGATGATTCACGGAGAGGACAAGGAAATAATTCAGTGTCCAAGGCTGTTTGGTTATGAGGTCAGAAGGAAGGTTGGTTTAGGGGGTCAGCAAGGAGTTAAGAATCATAGGGGAATGGGGTCAGCAGAGAGGCATCCCACACCAGAGGGCTAGGGATAGTCCAAGCCCCACCACCCAAGCCAGTAAGGGCACGGGGGCTGCTCCAGCTTGGAGAATAACGTCCAGCTTTTCCTCAGGGTTCTCAGTCACAGAGAAGACCCCAATTTTCCGGACATGGTTCAACAAGGAGCTGGAAGCTTGGGTCACGCAGCCCTGAATGTTCAAATCAGACCGTATCCCACCTACAGAGTGAGTCAGAGAGGTTTCAAAAGACAGCACACTTAAAGTCCTAAGACCCAGGAATCCCAGATCCCCCCAGCCCCCTCAGACCGGGAGACCGCGCTTAGTCTTCTCCTCCCTCAGACCTAGAAATCTGAGTTTCCAGGCCCCCCACCCTCAAACCCTTGGGTCAGGGCCTCAAGTACCCTCCCACCTCAGAACCACTGAATCCAGGCCCCCAACCCTGCATTCTTGGGACCCGGCCATCAGCACTTACCGTCCTGGATCTGAATGTAACCACTGTAACAATGAGTGGTGCCACGGGGGCACATAACATTTTGGGGGTTTTCTGGGCAGGATCCAAAGATGTTCACACAGACGGGACACTGCAAATTTCCCGGGGCAGGGGCAGCTGAAAAGTAGAGAGAAGGTTGGGGTGCACAGCTCGGCTCCTAGCTGGAGCCACCCTCCTCGATCCCCGGAGTCTCTGTGTCTCCCCATCTCAGGGTGTCCCCGGTCCCACCCAACCTGCTGGGCTTCCATACCTGGACGAGGGAGAGAGTTCAACAGGACGCTGGTATTGCTGGCCCTGTTGCACCTGTTGAAGGGGCAGAAACGGGCATAGGAGGCCACCAGCACTCCAGGGGGTCCCGAGTGTACGGTGATCGTAGAGGTATCCTGCCTCTTGCCCTTGCTGCAGCCTTTGCTTCCTACTATGATTGATTTGTGTCCTGGGGGGAAGGGGTGAGAGAGCAAAAGCTGGGCTGGGGGAGTGGGGCTCTGATGACCAAAGGCAGGAGGCAGAGCCAGGGGGGCTCCCTGACGCTCAGCAGGCAGGCAGAGGGTGAGTGCAGGTGCCTGAGTTCTAGAGCCCGGGGCACACCGAGGGTAGGGGGAAGGCGGGGGCCAGGGCCAGTTCTGCCGTCCTTCAGGTCTTCCTCAAACGCCGCCTGCTCAGGACAGCCTCCCCGGAGCGCCCGCTTTCACACGGGGAACCTTCACGTAACTCCCTACCTCCTTTCCCCATGGGGTTGCTCTTATCCTCACATCCGTATCTTTACTCTGTTTTGTGTTTGTGGTTTGTTTTTTCATCCCCACTGGCGTGTAAAGCCTGAGGAAGGAGGATGGAGGGGTCCACAGCGCCCCACAACAGCTACCTGGCACACGGCGGGGGCTCGAGAAATCTCCAACGAACTCAGTGAGCTTACTCTGTGCTGGCTCTGTTCTTGCCCAGCCCCCCCACCCCGCACGGACCGTGACAACCCCCCAGCAAGGGAGGTGGTATCACTGCTGTCATTTCTCCCTGCTTCCAGAAGGGCGAACTAAGGCCCAGAAGAAGGAAGGCCTGAGCTTAGAACTTGAGGCATGAGGGGAACCCGGCAGGAAATTCAGGGGACAGGACCCAGGGTGGGGACGCTCGGGACCCTGAGTGCAGCCCACGTACCTACATCGAAGAGCAGAAGTGTCTCCTGACACACCTCCCCAACGTTACAAAGCTCGTAGTGATCTGTGGTCCACCTGAGGGGCGTCCGAGACAGGTTTTGATTGCTGTACAACATGACCCCCCGTTGACAGGTCAGACTAACTGGGGAGAAGGAGTTGCTGTGTAAGGGTCTGTGTAAGCCAGGGAATCAGCCATGGCCGTCCCTCCGGGTCCCGTGCTTGGGAAGGTGGCCACATTCTTGGGTCATTCTCCAGGTGACCCGGCCACAGAGTCTCTCAATATCAGATTTAGAAGGGACCTTGGAAGTCGGGGTCCCATTCACATTCTTTAACCTTTTTTTTTTTTTTTAAGATTTTATTTATTTGACAGAGAGAAACACACAAGCAGGGGAAGTGGGAGAGGGAGAAGCAGGCTTCCCGCCGAGCAAGGAGCCCGATGCAGGGCTCGATCCCAGGACACTGGGATCATGACCTGAGCCAAAGGCAGACGCTTAACGACTGAACCACCCAGGCGCCCCATCTTTACCCTGTTTTTGCCTGAACACCTGCGGGAGCCTTTCTCAAGGGTCCTTGAGGAAGGCCCCTCCTCCCTTTGGGTGTGACAGGCACCATGGCTCTTCCTTGGCCTACGTCAAACTCTACTTGCCCTCTCTGGTGCTCGGGGCCCTCATCTGGATGAGGAGGGTAGCCTGCCACTATATATATAAAGATTTATTTATTTATTTGAGAGAGAGAAAGGGGGGAGGGGCAGAGGGAGAGGGAGAGAAAGAAACCCAAGCAGACCCACAGCTGAGCGTGGAGCCCGACGTGGGGCTGGATCCCACAACCCTGAGATCACGACCCAAGCCGAAGCCAAGAGCTGGACGTTCAACCCACTGCACCCCCCGGGCGCCCGCACCATATATTTCTTTCCAGACCGAAATGCTCAGAAGCCTAGTGTGCACTGAGCGTCTACCACGTGCCAGGCTGTGGCAGTTGCTGTGCATGGACCAGCCCACGAGTCTCACAGGGAGCTCCCCTCGCCCGGATTACCTCATTTCCTCACGGCAACCTCCAGTGTAGGTGGCTTAATCATCATCACCCCAACATCAAGTTGGGAAACAGAGGCAGAGCACTTGTGCAGGAGGCGCAGAAGCTTGCCGCATGTCCCAACCCAGGTGACTGGCAGAGCTGAGCTCAGAACGCAGGTGCTCCGGCTCCTTGGGGCGGGTGCCGACCATCCTCGGCCACCTCCAGCCCTCCGAGCCCTCGGGAAAACCACGAGTCTAAACCTTCTCTTTAGACCTCACATGGCCAGCAGGGATGGGTCCCTCGATGCAGAAGCACCCGGGCTGGGGAGGAGGCATCCGCAAACGTGGCACCTTCACCACGGCCCCTCCCCTCGAGGGAGGCCTGCTCATCTCCCAGCTACGCAGATGACAAAACCGCCCTCTGCTGCCTGCTCCGAGCTTCATCCCACTCCCCCTCCCAGCCCCCAGCCCCCCGTTTCCCCATCTTGCTCAACGGCACCTCCTTTCTTGCAGCTGCACCAGGAAAATATTGCTGCCACTTTGGACAATTGCCTTTCTCTTAGGTTGCACCCATCAGGAAATCCTGTGGCTTCAGCCGCAAAATACCGCCAGGACCTTGGGGGCTTCTCACCAGCTCCACTGTTTCCCCCAGAGACCACTGGCCCTCACCTGCTTCGCCCTGATTTCCCGGCCCCACCCCCAGCAGCCATGGGGGAATCCTCATAAAGGGGTGAGTCCATTCATGTCCCTCCTCTGCTCGGAAGACGCCAAAATGTCCCCATCCCTCTCAGCATAAAATTCCTAGTCCTTAAACTCTGCCGCCAAAGGCCCAGGGATCTGGTCTTAACCATTCAGATCGCTCGCGTCTCCTCCCTGTGTCCCCCACCCCTGCGGGGCTTCTTGCGAGCTGACACTCACCACTGGGGCTGCAGTCCTCACTCATTTGGATGGGCCCGATTTTCTGAATCCCGTTGAGCAGGTTGCAGCCTGCTTGGGACGTGCATCCTTGGACTCTCAGAACGCTGAAGCTATCCCCTGTGGACCAGGGCAGGGAGGGAGATGCTGCTAGGACCACCCCGCCCCCGGGGGAGCCGCCCTCCTCAGGTCCCAGCTTCTGTCCCTCACCAGAGAACCCGATCTTGGTCCTCAGACTCCTCCTCCTGCTGCTTTAGTGCTCCACATCCCATGGACCACAGGGGACCCCCTGTCCTGGCTCACCTTCCCTGAGCCTGATTGCCCCACGGTAGCAGTGCGTGCTCCCGGCTGGGCAGGTCAGTTCTGTGGCAGACTCGCAGTGTTCTGTAGACAAGCAGACTGGACACCTCAGGGAGCCCGGGCCTGGGGAGGTGAGGAAAGGGCTCTGGATCTGATGGGGGCCTGCTCTCCACCGCCCCGCCCCCCGCCACTTTGCTGGTCCCAAGAAGCAACCTCCCTAGTCTCCCACAAACGCGCCCTCCTTGGCTCCTCTCTTGCAGGCACGCCAGGGAATCAGGGACAGGTGGCAAGGGAGAGAGCAAGGGCCAAGGGGTGGGGCAAGAACCCCGGAGGGGTCACCTGGGCTGAGTACAGGAGGGGGCGCGGCGGGGGGAGGATTCACCCACAGGTTCCACAAAACAGTCCGAGAACACTAGAGCCCCGGGTTCACAAACTATTCCAAAGAGTAGAGAAACACAAAACATTGCCCCAAACCTGATCTGGGGATACCAGACAAGAAGGGTGTGGTCCATGACACTTTAATAGTGTTGTGTGGTCACACAGAACCACATTGCTGGTGAGCACAGCACAACACACAGAGCTGTGCAATCACTTTTGTATTCCTGACTAATGTCACACTGTGTGTCAACTAGGCTCAAGTTTAAAAAAAAATTTTTTTTTTTAAGTTCCAGGCTAATTTCACTTTGGAAGAGGAACTGCCAAAACCCTAAATAAAACATGAGTGAATCAAATTCTAACTCGAAGAAGAAAAAGAAGGAGGAGGAGGAAGGAGCCTGCACTAGGTTAAGGCCAAGCCCGAGTCTAAGTGAGGTGGCTGAACACCAGGAAATCCCTGTGGTTTGCGGCTCCAGGACCAATAGAAGAAGGGGTGCTGAGGGAGGGAGCCCCAGAGAGAGCAGACAGGGAGTCGGGAGGGAGGAGGGATCCAAATGGTCGCTCCCTCTGTGCTCACTTCCACTCCTCAGCCCTGCTGCTCCCCTGCGCCCACCAGCCCCTTCCCTCCCCCCTCCCCCCTCACACCTGCAGTGGAGGGTAGGTTCCAGAGCGGGAGGCTGGTGGACAGGCTGTTGCAGTTGTCCTTCTCCCGGCACACATGGGTGTAAGAGAGGACAGTGAGGCCAGGGCCTGCACTATGCTCCCTGATGAGGACATCCTGATCCGCTACTGAGGTGCAGCCCTTGTTGATCACCACGCTCGCTTGGGGTCCTGCACCAAAAGAGAGTCAGGCCCTGGACTCCTGGGTCTGAGGGAGGAGGGGCTGGGGATCAGGCCTCTTGGGTCAGAGGGAGGAGGGGGCTGGAGGCCTGACCCCTGGGTCTGAGGCAGGAGGGGCTGGGGGCAGGACTCCTGAGTCTGAGGGAGGAGGGGGCTGGGGGCCTGGACTCCTGGGTCTGAGGCAGGAGGGGCTTCCGAGTCCCTACACAGAGTACAGTAGGACTGGGCAGGGAAGAATGCTTCTCCCGGGAGAGGGTGGGAGTCAGGCTTGGGGCCCACAGGGCCTTCCTCACCGTTCTCAATGAGGATCAGTGTATCTTGGCAACCCCAACCATCCTCACATAACTCCTGGCCAGTTGTCCACTCAAGGGGCAGTTCCGATACATTCCTCAGAGACTTATGTGTCCCCCGCTGACAGATCAGGGCCTGCACTCCTGAGATGGGAAGAGAAATCCATCTGAGCCCATCCTCCAGGAAAATGCCCTCCCAGGTCAGGGTCCTCACTCACGGGGCAGCATGAGGGTGGCACCCAGGAGAGCCAGCTGCAGGGCGGGGCTCATGGTCAGGGTGGATGGAACTCTCCCTCCTGTTCTTTCTTCTGGGTACCCCACCCTTTTATATCTTGCCAGGAAAGGGCGGGAGGGAGAGCCCTGATTGAGGAGGTCTGAGTCCACCCTCTGAGTCTCACTGGATAAGAAATCCGGGTCTCCCCTCCTTCGCAGGACCCAGGAGTCCAGGCTCCCTGACCCCCCAACACTTAGAACATCCCGGCCCCCAGGCCCCACTGGTCCAGCTCCCCAGCCCCCTTTCCTCCTGCGCCCCACCTGGCAGGTGCCCACCCCCACACTGTTTCAGGGTAGTTTGGGAAGGAGGTTTCCTCAGGGCAGCCTGGCCCCAGGTGAGGATGTTGGGGATATGGCCCAACTGCCTGTGAGGACACTGTGCAGTGGGGGCTGGTTACTCCCTACTCGAACCTCTGCCCACCAGGGGTTCTTGCTTCTCACTCCTTTCTCTTTCTTTCTTACATTGCTTGCCTTTTTATTCCCATTTTCCCCGATGTTCCCTCCTGCTTTCTATTCCTCTGTTCTCCCCACTCCTAAAGCAAGAGGAGCTGGGGTTCCTTCCATCTGGGGAGGGGAGAGGGGACGGGGGTGGTCGTGGAAAGTGAGTTTCTGTCAAAGACAGGATATCCCTTGACAAAGCCGAGTTTCTTCCCTGGGATGTGCCAACAACCAGCTCTGTAGAGAAACAGCATCAGTGCAATGTGCCTTGTAACAGGGGCCTATTTCTGTGTATAAAACTCAGACTTTGAGCTACCGATCATTTAACAATCAGCTCGCAACATTCTGAAATGTTTAGCCATCGGCTTTTGCAAGCCTGTACAAACCAGCGCCAGCACGCTGGGGAGGAGAGGGCCAGGGAAGAATAGGAGCCTTGGCAGTGACCGCAGAGCCGACAAGTGGGTGTATGAGGAAGAGGAAGGTGGGGTGGGGTGATGACAGCAGCAGAGGGGGGAGAGAGGTGAACGTGTACCTTATAACTCTAAGTCTCTTCTTGACATCTTTATACATTCTGTTTTATGTTTGCAAGTGTAACGTTGCCACGCGGGCAGAGACACGATTCCCACCGCATCTACACCACTCGTGGGACACACAGTGAGTACTCAATATGTATTGATTGACTGAATAAACGAATGAAAGGTGGGGGAAGGTGGGAACAGAGTATTTGCGTAGGTCGTACACCATGGGAACACTACTCCCTCCCCAACGAGTCCCCTTGTTGCCGTGGAAACGGTGCCCTCTGGAGATGTGTGCGACGACGTGAAGCAGTGTTTCTGGAAGGAGAGGAGAAGGAAGGATAGGCAAAGACACACAGAGGGTCATAGGTGGTCAGTGAAACGTCTTGCTTTTAGTCCACAAATATTCACTGAGGCTGGGCTCTGTGCCAGGCACCATCCCCGTTGCTGGGGGACTCGGGAAGACCAACAAGAATGAGGCCCAGCTTTTGTTGAGCTCACACCCGAGTGAGAGAGAGAGAGACACTGAGCAAACACGTGAGCGTGCGCGTGCGCGTGCGCACACACACACACACGCATACACACACAGGGTGCTGAGTGCTGGGCAGGGTGAAGACCAGGTGATGTGAAAGAAAGTGAGTGAACTGGATCAGGGCAGGCCTCCCGGAGGAGGTGAACTATGAGCTGAGAACAGAATGCAAAGAAAGAGTTTGTCATGGAGGGCATGTGGGAAAGGCATTCCAGCCAGAAGGAAGAGCAGGTGCAAAGGCCCTGAGGTGGGGCCACTCTTGGCTTATGTGAGGATTAGAAAGAAAGCAGGTGGTTCGGCTGCAGAGAAGGAAGGGGGAATCGATGGGTGCTGAGGGTAGAGAGGCTGGCAAGGGCTTGGCAATGCAGGCCTGAGTCAGGATATTAAGGCAACCTTCCTGGGAGTCCCACATATTTCAAGGGGCAAATGCAAGGCTGGGCGTGGAACTATTTAGCAAAAAGGCTTACAGTTGTAGGTGTGTGAAACTCTGCTACCAGGCCGGATCTTGTTGCTCCCTGATTGTGAGGCCTTGGGTCATTCATTTCCCCTCTCCCAACTGCCTCATCCTCTTCTGTAAAGTAAGGCTGATGATTATCGGCACCTCATGGGTTGCTCATGGACCCAGAAGCTCAAGAATGAGCAAAGAGGGGGCGCCTGGGTGGCTCAGTCATTAAGCGTCTGCCTTGGGCTCAGGTCATGTCCCAGGGTCCTGGGATCGAGCCCCGCATCGGGCTCCCTGCTCAGCGGGGAGTCTGCTTCTCCCTGTCCCACTTCCCCTGCTTGTGTTCCCTCTCTCTCTGTGTCTCTCTCTGTCAAATAAATAAAATCTTTAACAAAAAAAAAGAATGAGCGGGGAGGCTGGGTTCATTTGAGAAAGACCCTGCAATGCAACCACGGGTGTAGACAGTGACTCTTCCCCTATACCAGAAAAACTGGGGGCCATTGATCCGGGGGAGTTGGGCACTGGCCAAAGGCAAAAATGCTCAGGCCTTGCAGGGATTCTTCGGATGATGGCTCTGGACAGACATGAATCGCTGCCATGAAGGAGGTCAGGGCTCCTGCACCATCCTATAATATAGTTCAGAGGGACCCGGATCATCTGAGTTTCTACAGAACATCACACTGCTCCACTTCATTGACAGATTTATGTTATTTACTCAGACACGTGAACAAGAGGTAGCAAGCACCCTTGATGATTCAGGAGGAAGACATGTGTGTGCCAGAGGGTGGGCAATAAGCGCCCCCCGCCATCGTGTTGGTGTAAATCCTAGGGGCCCAGAGGTCCAGGGCATGTCCCCCAACAGTAGCCCCCCTGTATCAGCAGAAGAGACTTTCCAAAGCCCTCAGTGGACGTCTGAAACTGTGGGAATACCAAGCTCCATATGTACTATGTGCCTTTCCTGTCCATACATACGTATGATAAAATTCGATTTATAAATTAGAGGCAGTAAAAGATTAATCACAATGACTAATAATAAAATAGACCGATTATAAGATACTATAATACAAGTTGTGTGCATGTGGTCTCTCTCTCAAAGTATCTTATTGTGCTGGACTCACCCTTCTTTGTGTGATGACAGGAGATGATAAAATGCCCACCTGATGGGGTGAAGGGAGGGGAATGACGCAGACCCGGTGACCAGTGTTCAGCGAGTCCTGGTCTTCTGACCATATGTCCGAAGGGGGATCATCTGCTTCCAGACCACGGCTTACTGCAGGGGTGGGGGAGGGGGTGCCGCTGTACTTCTTCTGAGACAATTTGCTACACCTTTAGAAAAAAGATCCCTTAAGATTTGGGGTGGGGAGGGGCGCCTGGGTGGCTCAGTTGGTTAAGCGACTGCCTTCGGCTCAGGTCATGATCCTGGAGTCCCGGGATCGAGTTCCGCATCGGGCTCCCTGCTCAGCAGGGAGTCTGCTTCTCCCTCTGACCCTCCCCCATCTCATGCTTTCTATCTCATTTTCTCTCTCTCAAATAAATAAATAAAATCTTAAAAAAAAAAAGATTTGGGGTGGGGAGGGGGGGCGGATGTAGCACATTTGACATGCTACTCCTACTCATTTCTGAGCAAACCCACAAGACTGCCAGTTTTGGGGTTTTTTTTAAGATTTTATTTATTTGACAGAGAGCACAAGCAGGAGGAGCGGGAGAGGGAGAAGCAGGCTCCCAAGACTGCCAGTTTTGAGTAGATCCTAGAGTAGGAAGGGACTCGAATGAAAGGCATGTGACCCAACAGACCCAACGTCGTCAAAAGCTTCTGTGATATAAAGAGATAATAGGATAATCACAGTGAGAAACTCAGGGTTTGGGAGCAAAGATACGTCTCCTTCTACAAATAACTGTCTTCCATTTAGAAAGCAGCTCCTGGGGCACCTGGGTGGCTCAGTCAGTTAAGCGTCTGCCTTCGGCTCAGGTCATGATCTCAGGGTCCTGGGATTGAGCCCTGCATTGGGCTCCTGCTCAGTGGGGAGCCTGCTTCTCACTCTCCCTCTGCCCCTGCCCCCGCTCATGCTCTCTCTCTCTGTCAAATAAATAAATAAATAAAATCTTGAAAGAAAGAAAGCTCGTGGCTCCTTACTGTGTCCCAGGGGAGTCTGCATACTGGACTCTGGGCCACCAAGGGCATCCTGACCTGCACTGCACATCACATACTGGGCATGCACAGCAGCATCCATCATCCACGGGAGAGGTGTGTGTGGTGTGAATGGGATCAGGCTCTCGCAGGTCCGGAGGGCACAGGCGAATGCCTCAGTAGGTGGCTCAGATGCCCATGATGCCTCCTTCTACTGCCTCTCCCTCTGCTTGCCCCTATGGGTCCATGGGGATACCCTGTGATCTGTTCACAGAGAAGGGATGGAACAGACCAGGTTTATGCACAGATCTGTGCGGCGGGCTGGTGCCAGGCGGTGGGTAGCTGCTGTTTAGCCCTGCACCCCTGTGGCCCTGAATGACGTAGGTATATCCTTCAGGTGGCTAAACATAGTCACCTGAGGGCCTCACCGGGGGCCACACCGTGGCAGCGGATCAGCGGGAACCGTGAGGCACAGGTGGGAGTGAACCTGCTGTTTTCAAGAAGCGTCTGCCTGAGAAGGGCTCATCAAGAGGATGGGGTGCAGCTGGGACTGGGGGTGATTCCAAGTCTTCCAGGTAGCCGGGGTGGGTGTGGGCAACCAAGGGAGGGCCATTGCAAGCAGAAGGAATGACGGGGCAAGGCCAAGGAGGCAGGAAACGCCCGGGCACGTCTTGAGAATGGCTGCTGGCGGGGAGGGGGGCCTGGGCTGATCAGGTACCTGTGAAGCCAGACCAAGGGGTTGGCCTGTGTCCTGAGCGCAGGGAGCCATGGAGGGGTGCGAAGCCCGGAAGGACGCTCTGCCAGGGAAGCCTTCTGACTGCCCATCCCTTTTCCATGTGGACATTCTCATCTTTTGGTCGCTCCTTTCCCCCACGTTTGCTCTCTAGGGTCATCCGAAGGAACCAACTGACCCCAGCATCAACATATTCACCTCTGCTACCTCGGTGGGAATGCTACAACCATCTCAGCATCCAATATGGCGCTCTCCACCTGCACTTCTGTCTCTGCCACCACCAGTGATCACTTGGGCAACTGTAAAATGATCACAGGACTCGCCTTACCTGTACTCCAGCTCCCCCCCACCCCACCTCCCACCCCCAGAGTTCTCTCTGTGCTGCTCCCATGTGGTGGAAACCAAATCCCCAAATGTAGTTTTGTTTCCTGATCCGAGTTATTGTATTGGTCATGGTCCCAGCAGGATAATGGATGCTACACCCAAACTGGATAATTTGAGTAGAATTTATGAAAGGAACTGCTGTTTACAAACGTTAAGGTTGGATCCAGGGAAACACAAAGGGTGGTGCAGGAGTTGGGAGTCATCCTGTATTTTAGATATATCGTTTGTTGTGACAATATATAACAAAGAGTCAGGACCACTGGGAACGCAGGTCAGGTTGTGCACTGCACAAATGCTCTACACCTAGGGGGTGCCATGCACTTTGCAGATAACATAACTTGTAGGGAAAGACTCAATACTGAAACAGGGAGAGAAAGCTTCCCTCTACAAAAACCCACACCTGGACACAGGCCACGCACATTTATGATACGCTGCTAAATGTTTAACTGCTTCCCTGAGGGGAGAAATAAAAGCTCTGATTTGTAGTGTTTGCCAATTTCCATGTTGTAAATATTCCCACTATGGCTGATTTCAAGCTACCATGATGTCTCAGACATGGAGCTGGCAAGAAACGCCCTGTGGCAACCGTTATATGATATTTTTACCACACTGATGCAATAGATGTATATAAATAATCTCAAGAGCATAGGTAATACTTGGGGCACTTGGGTGGCTCAGTCATTAAGTGTCTGCCTTCGGCTCAGGTCATGGTCCCAGGGTCCTGGGATCAAGCCCCGCATCGGGCTCCCTGCTCAGCGGGAAGCCTGCTTCTCCCTCTCTCACTCCCCCTGCTTGGGTTCCTGCTCCCGCTGTCTCTCTCTCTGTCAAAATAAATAAACAAAATCTTAAAAAAAAAAAAAGAGGTAATACTTAAAATGCAGTAAGATCAAGAGGAAGGGACAGATTTTTAAGTATTTGTTACCTTTGTCTTAATATGATTTGGTTGTAACTTCACATAATTTAATTTTTAATAAGGTTGTGTTTAGCCCTGGCTTGCAAACTTCCTGAAAATTTAAACATTGGTCTCATAAACCAGGCAGAGTCAGTTCCAGCATGGCCCACACCCCACAGCCAGCCAGTGAGTATGCAAATATGGGCTTGGCTATATACCCTGCCCTGACCGTGCTCAAGGATCCCCTGGGCTCTCAATCCTATTTTTTTTTTTTTAAGTGGGCTCCATGCTGGGCTTGAGCTCATGACTATGAGATCGAGACCTGAGGTGAGATCAAGAGTCAGATGCTTAATCAATGGAGCCACCCAGGCACTTAGGCTCCCAATTCTTAAAGAACTGATTCTTGTCCTCCCTTCCATCTCTGAACCTGTCAGGGTACCCTCACCTCTGGGTGGGTGGGTAGGGGACCAGGTGTGGTCACTGCCAGAAGCAGGTGCACCCCAATATCCAAGGTGTGTGGTGTGTGAGCATTGGGACCATCAGCACTGTGGGTCTCACTATTATGGCTGGAGAAGTCACCCAACATGACCAAGGGGCAGCCATGCACAATCCCCAAGATCTAAGAAGGCCAGAATCCCCCTGGCAGGAGAGCAGTGGGAAAAGGGAAAGCAACGGATACTGGCTCTCACTTTGATTAAAATTAAAAAAAAAAGAAACTGGAGCCAAGTATACAAAAAAACAAAATTCTTTCCATGATCTTACAACCAGCTTGTGACCAATCAGATGAGACAACTAGAAAACTCGATGACCAGAGGCATCAGTTTGTCTGACTTTTTGTAACTCTCTTTTTTTTTTTTAAGTTTTATTTAGGTAATCTCTACACCCAATGTGGGGCTCAAACTCACGACCCCGAGATCAAGAGTTGCACGCTCCACCTACTGAGCCAGCCAGGTGCCCCTGACTTTCTGTAACTTTTAAAAACTTTCCAGTGAGAATGATTAATTAGGTTACTCAAATTTACATATGGACCCAGTCAAGAACCAATTAATAATTTTCAATCCCAAATACATTTAGGCTCAAATTGAAGATAAGTTCATATGTGTACTTCCTGTTAAGGCATTCTATTTGGTTCTATCCAACCTGTCCCATAGCTATCCCTCACCAGCAAGAACAACAGTGGTCACATCTCACATCTGAGATTTTTCTTTAACGCTACTTTTCCCAGGCCCAACAAGAAATGGTTATTTGGGTTTTGCAACAACATATTATGTCTGTTACCTACGGACGCATACAAAACCATCCCAAAAAGGGGCACCTGGGTGGCTCAGTCGGTTAAGCGTCTGCCTTCGGCTCAGGTCATGATCCCTAGGTCCTGGGATCGAGTCCCACATCAGGCTCCTTGCTCCGCTGGGGGCCTGCTTCTCCCTCTGCCTGCTGCTCCCCCTGCTTGTGTTCTCTCTCTCTCTCTGTCAAATAAATAAAATCTTTAAAAAAACACAAAACAATAGCCATTTTATCTGTGCACAATCCTGTGGGCCACCAATTAGACTGGGCTTTCTCTCTCTCTGTCAAATAAATAAAATCTTTAAAAAAACACAAAACAATAGCCATTTTATCTGTGCACAATCCTGTGGGCCACCAATTAGACTGGGCTTAACTTGTGCTTCTGCTGGTCTCACCTGGAGATGCTCATGTGGCTGCATTTGTCTGGTAATTTGATTGAGGCTGGATGGTCTAAGATAATATCACTCATGTGTCTGACAGTTGGTGCTGGTGAGCTGGGCCTCTCTGTCTACGTGGTTTTTCATGCTCAACGTTCAGCCAGATTTCTTTAGGTGAGGGCCCCACGCAGCAAAATAGAGGAAGCCCCAATGTGCAAATGCTCATGTTTGTTAAGTTTATTCTAAACTTATTGTCTCATTGGCCAAAATGAGTCACACAGCCATGCCCAGCTTATTTTATTTTTTAAAAGATGTTATTTTTTTAAGTAATCCTATACCCAATATGGGGGCTCAAATTCACAACCTTGAGATCAAGAGTCATGCTCTACTGACTGAGCCAGCCCAGGTACCCCTGTGCCTAGCTTTCAGGGATAGAGAAACTTACCCCGGCTTTGGATGGGAAAGGCAGCAAAGATACACTGCAGAGGGGTATGTGAACAGGGATGGGAAGAATCTGTAGCCATTAAG